CGACGGCGAAGGCTCCGATGATGGATACAGAGACCGAAGTCAGAGAGTCAGTTCGAGCACGAGCAGAACAAAATATGCCCAAATGCCCTTGAGTGATCTATGCAAAGCAATGCGGATCAGTTGAGAGGATCGATCGTGGCCAAAAGGTGGTTACGCGGTTGGTTAGGCTGCTTTTAGGCCACAGCGAAATGAAAGGTAGCCGTTGCCAGTAGCTCGGTAGCCGACTAGTCATCAAAACTAGGAAATTAGCATAGACATAGTTTCCTTTTTAGCTGCCGTTTGGTTCGTTTCGTTCGTTTTTTTCTAGCTCTGGCGTTGACTCTGCCTCTGACTCGCATCCATTGCGTAGAAAATCATGAAAATGGCTACTGGAGTGGCCAACAAGTATGAAGAAGACATGGGAGATGAAGATGAAGACGGTGGACTCGGTGAGCCTCAGCCAAGGGCATTAATTTCATACAATTAATGGAAATTATATGAAATTATGAGTGGAACATTGAAATTCCTTGTGAACATCACCCGGGACAACAACCAGACAGCGGAATCCATCCACTCCAACTCCAAACTCGAGGGGTCTCTGGGGGGTTCACTACTGGCTTGGGTGGCAAGTGTTTCTCTCTCGAAGTAGTTCCCATTTCCACAACGCCAAATGAAAGAAAATTAAATTTTTCACTGTCTTCTTAATTGAAACATTAGCCAAACATTTTATCTGTCCCACACTCCAAGCTCCCAGCTCACAGTTCTCTTCTCAGCTCTCTGTTCATTTACATTCAAATTAACTCGTAATGAAAACGAGTCGGGGAAAACTTTGACTTTGACTTTGTCTGGTGCCTCGTTTCTGGGGGTTGTGGCATTTAATTAGTTGCTCTGATTGTTGCCTGTCCTTTGTTTATTACTATTTGCCAGCCATTCCATTCTGGCTTAGTCAGTGGAATTATCCACGCCTAGATCTGGCCCGGTCTGGTTTACGGTTCTGTTTGTTTTGACACTCATTTAATGTCCATTTGAAGGCAGTTACGTTACCTATTCGATTGAATGAACAATATAAATTAGGGGTGGGTAAACAGGCTATGGAAACTTGTGGAATGGTAAATGAATGAAGTCATTGGTGTGATGACTGGAAAGACACATGCGGCTGCTGTTTAGAGGTTTCACATTTGAATTTGAATATAACTAAACATACGAATCAATACGATATCTTTACGGGAGTCTTTTCTTTTCTTCCTTTCTATTCCTGCCCTTCATATTGGGGTTGTCATTCATACAGTTTCCAATTGCACTTGCCACAACCCGTTCCCACCCCTACCTTAACGTACCACACCTCGCAACACCCTTCTAGGGCTACATGCTAACAATTTCTCAGGGCGAAATGTTGCCGTGGCAAAAAGAAAACAAGAAAACAGCAACACGTGCCCTTTTAATTAAAATAAATAAATAGGCGCAAACACATAAATAAACAAAACGCGGCAGAACTACAATACCAAATACCAAATACCAAATAGAGATGATGAAGACGTTCTCGATTACTCCCGAGTGGAGTTCTCTGTTGTTCCCTGCTCTAACAATCAACATTCATGTCAAAAATGTTTTTGCCTGGTATTCAATTTCATGCATTTATGCCGGATGGGGTATAGAATGGGTTGGGCCCCAGGACAAAAGAGTTGGCAGGAGAGAGAATTGGGCCTGGTCGCCTTGGGCTGTGCCATGGTTATATATAAGAGTGTTTTTCTGGTTCGTTTGTATTTCTTTGTGGAACGTGCGCATTCGAATTTGAAGCGAATTATTATTTAGTCGAAGCGAAACGAAAAACGTTTCTTGGAATAAAACCTTGGAGTACAACTTAATTTTTCCGTATACGAGACGGCCACAATTTGCATGTGGAATAAATCAAATGTAAAACGCATAAAAGACGCCACCACCTACCCACACTCAGAATACAGGACGGACAGGGTACGCCACACCCTGTCCAGACACATCCTGAGTTATGAGAAACAGGAACCATGGCAGGACTTCGGGCAGGGAGAGGGACGGGGGAACCTTTTGTCTGGGCAGGATTATGACCATTTATTTGCTTGTCCTGTGGCTGATAATGGTAAATACTTTTCCCCGTTCTATGTGCTCTGTTCTTTTTTTGGGGGTAAATACATTTCCCCGTTCTTAATATTGAACGAAAATACTTTCCTGTGTGTGTGTCGGGGCGGGGTGGTGGGTAAAAGTTTTAGCCTAAGGCGATTTTCCCCAGTACAAGAAATCAAAATCAATGAAGATTTTGATGTACAATAGTTGAAGCCAAAAAGCAGCACCAATGAGGCTTCTACCTTTTGGTTCCAGAGGTTCACTTCGGTTCGAGTTCCAGTTGCCTGGGTTTGGCTTCCTGAACTTTGCTTGCGCCCTTTCATGGATTATGCATCGCTTAGCCCAAACGCAAAACTTTCAACCAACTCAAATTATTTATTACTAATTGAAGGAGTAGCAGCCGAAGCGGCCACAGTACTGTGAACTCTTTGCAATGACTTTTCCTTGGGATTTAATTTGATTATTTTACGCAAAGCATTTTCCACAGAGTTCAATTTGTCAAAGTTAATTAAATCGAGTTAAGAACTTTATTGAGCATTTCCTGTGCCAAACAAATGGAAACCAATCAAATTTAATGTGAATTTACCTCGGTGGCAGCCAAGAGAAAATATGTATCTCTGGTCCAATGGCCAATGGGCAAGCCATAATAATAATTTATGTGATGGCAGCGCCAGAAGATCTGCAAGCGATATATGTATGTATGTATGTACGAGTATGTAGGAACATACATACATATGTATGTATGTATTTAGGCTTCATGTTCTTTTTACTTGAATACTCTTATGAGTATGGGAGAGGTATGGTAGGTTTTATTGTGAAATTTGTTGTTTAAGTATTATATAATAAATAAACCCTACAGGAATAGCGTCCCTTAATTTATATCCACATATGTATGTGCAATAGGAAAAACTTTGGAATATTATTTGGAATCCTTTGAAATATAATCTTAAAAGCAGTAACATCTCTCCTAGATACTAAAGAGTCTTTCATACTTCCATTTTAATACTTCTTTAGCTTCACAAAAGGACCTCATAAGAGTATTCAGACTTCATTTTTGCGCTCATGTCGCTGCCCACTTCTTTGTATTTTTCATATAAATGCACAACATTTTGATTGATTCAATCAAAACGAAGCAAAACGCAAAAACAGCGATCAGTCAGTCCGAGTGCGGGACTAAGAAGTCGCTGTGGATGCTGAAGCCGGAGATCCGAAATGTCGGAGGCATCAGGTTTTCTGCATGCCTGTCACGTAATTTATTGATTTAGCTCTTGGGAATACGAGACTGTGGATCGTGAAAAATGAAATGTTTGCCACTGCCAGCAGCAGCATCAGCAGAAGCAAAAGCATCAGCAACCACATCCGAGAGACAGACAGAGGCACAGGCCAAGACCTGTACATGTAGTGCCTGGACATGATGGCTGACGAACTGGACCCGGCCAGACTTGGGCTGATTGGTTGTCGATCGATTTGGCTGGCGGCCAGACAAATTCAAATGCATTGGCCCCGATCTGTGAATGCAACTGCTCCTGGATGGACGGGGGATAAACGCGAGGGGATCAAAGGCACTTACGCATGTACGCCTCAAACGATACACAGAAGAGGAGAGCAGAGCACAAGCACAAAACTTGATCATCGGCAGGCCACAGCGATCATCGATCAACAGACAGATGGACAGATGGACAGATCGACCGACAGACACACAGACGGACCATCGACTCTCGCGAGCTCTAGAGAGATAATGGCCGGCTTGCCATTTTGCATTTTTGCATTTGTAATGCAACTGAAAACCAGAATGAATTGTAATTTGTTCGAAATCAAGCCACGGCAGCAGCCATCCCCATCCCCAACCCATCGGTTCGGTCAAGTCCCAGTCCCAGTCCCAGTCCCAGCTTTGAGCACAGCACAGCGGCGATGGTATCTACAGCAAAAGAAGACTACATTTGCGATTGAGGATGTTGGTTGTTCGAGATGTGCTGATGTCGATGGGGATGGGAATGGGGATGGGATGGGTCTGTGGCTGCTGTGGGCAGAGGTTGATAGCATTGAACTTCGGTATGTGGCACAGTGGGTCGCGCATAAGGAACCATTAATCCTAATTGTTTTGTTCTTGAAATTCTCCTGAATTTAGTTAATAAGTGCGATATAACCCTAAGAATTTGAACTCTGGTAATTTTTGGGAGAAATTTCAATCGGATATCTTCATAAAGATTTATGATTTTATTATAATAAAATTAGCTTGCAAGAGTCAACTGAGAACCCTAGATAAAACCTACCTTTCACACCATCTCCAACCACTGTTTCTTGGCATCTTTTCCCTTGCTTCCCAGCCTCGGGTCGTCTCCGTTCGCTTCTTCATCTCTGAGTTGCGCCCTGAGCCGCAATTCGTATGTAAAGTCGGGCATTTTCAACAGTTATCAGAACGCCGACTTTTGTGCCTCTTACAGATCATCTCGCACTCAGGCAGTCTCGACTCCCCAGTTCCCATCCTCCAACCCATCCATAAACCAATGCAGTCCACCAACGGCTACGCAAATGGCAATTTAAGTCATTTTGTTTGCAGTTTTTTGCGTTCCTTTTTTTGTGTAAGGCGAATTCAAAATGGTTTAATATTATGCACAAATAAATTATGGGCCATTAAATGGAGCAGGGAAACATGGTAGGCAGTGGGCAGCGGGCAGGTAGGCCACGAGAAAGGCTCCAAGGAGTTTAGATACCTGGGCCACAGTCCAAGCACTGCCTCAGGTGGGAAAAATTTGTGTAAAAATGGCGCATAGCTGACGGCCTGTGGCTGTAAAATAGGTGTATTACGCAGAAATGCGTGCTACCTGCAGGAAAAACCATTAGAAAAGAGTAGCGGCCTCAGGAGCAGCTGTCCCCTTCCATTATGAAAACTCACATTAAAATCACTTCTCTTTCCCTTGCAGCGATCAGTTTGGTTCCGAAGATCGCCTCAAGATGTTGCCTTTGCTTCTGCTGCTCCTGGGCACGATCTCTCCGTCGTGGCAAGAGGGAAATGCCACAATTAGCTACCTGACGAAGGCTGGCTGTGAGGCCTTGATCAAAGATCCCAGTCTGTGCGAGTGTCAGGATCAGGACATCAAGTGTGAGACTCTCCAGGTGAACAGCGATAGCGAAAAGCTATACAGCATTAGCTGCCACATCTTCGATGCCAGGGGTTTTGGCTATATACCACCCTTGAAAGTGGGCAAAATTGGATCGCTGACCATTCAGAACTGTGCTATTCCCAATGCCCACAGTATTCCTAATCTGATCACTAAGCTGGGAATCACCAACTACACGGAGCTGGAGGTATTCAACTTTTTTGATCCCAAGAAGACCGATCGGGCAGAGGTGTTGCAGCAGCACTACACAAATCTACCGGGCCTGTCGAAGCTCACCATTTTGGGCTTCAAGTCCACGCTGCCCGCCGACTTTTTCAAGAATGTGTTCGAACTGAAGCATCTGTCGCTGAAGGGTTACAGCGATCTACCAGCCACCATCCTGCATCCTCTGACCAATCTGACCAAGCTGAACATCGTGATCAAGAACATACAGAAAGTGGCCAGCCAGATTTTTTCCAAGCAATCGAAACTCAAGCATCTGGTGATCGATTGCGATGTGAAGAACAGTAGCGTCGAGATGTCCGCCTTTGCCTCTGACGAGCTCTGGCACATGACCGACCTGCAGTCCTTTGAGCTCTTCAACTGCGGCGACAATGTGCCGACAGATTTGTTCTGGAAATCCGAACACTTGGCCTACATAGGCATTCGCAGCAACATTAGCTATCTGCACAAAGACTTTCTCCAGGCCCAGAAGCGACTGCTCACCCTTCGCCTCGAGAGGAACAATATTGCACGACTGCCAGATCAGCTGTTCTACTACACGCCCATGCTTTTGGAGATACATTTGGCTTTTAACAACTTGGATCGCATTCAATCGTAAGTCGACCCTATTATTGTAAATCATATCTAAATATAGTTCTCTGCGTTTCAGTGGTCTCTTCGACAAGTTGAAACAGCTTCAGGTGCTCAATCTGGAGCACAATCCGATTACTACCATCTCGCCGACAGCCTTTAATACCTTATCATCGCACATTTATGTGGGAAAGCTCTACCCGATGGCGGAGACAGCGGTCTGGGCACGAACAACGAATGCCACCATCTGCGAGGAGGAGTACATCTATGGGGTGTGCATCTACTGCAAGCGAGACGAGTACATTGACCACTTCGCCGACAAGGAGAACTGCAACAAGCCCACCCTGAAGGCCAAGGAAATCCTGGCCAAAAAGGCCCAAGAAATTCAGCTAAAATTGAGCTCAACGCCACAAGAGGGTGGGTAATCTGAGACATACTAAGGCACTCGTACAACTTTTGCTCATTCCATACTCATACCGATTTTTGTACAATAATTTATATTAAATTTGACAAGCGACTGCCATTCGCATGCCCATTCCATTGCATTGCCAAAATTGAAAACGAAAACGAAATCAGAAGCAAAAAGCGCATGAAACACAAACAATATTAATATTTGTTGCTCGCTTTCAACGCCAAACGATGATAAGAAGAGAAGAGCTCTGGGCGGGAGGGATGCGATGTCTGGGTGCGAAGTCAACAAAACATTTTTATATATAAATCATGAAGGAAAACAATTTATCTTTTGATTTGTAGCCAGGGGTTGGTTCTGCCAGCCACGGAAAATGAAAGGAAAACTTTTTTGTTTCGGCAGCAGCAACAGCAACAGAACAGGGAGCAACATGTCAAATCTAATAAGGCCTAATGTTGTCTTCCTCTTGGCCACCATTCCGGGATTGTAAGTGAAAGTCAGACAGTTGCAGTTCTTTTTTGTTTTTTTTTTGTTTTCGGAAGACATGGAATGAGCCAAAGCAAGTGAATTATGCGGGTCATGGGGGTACTACAGCGAGAGGGGAAAAGCAGTTCAGATGATTTCAGATTGCTATCATTTGTGATAAAAAAAAAGAAAGAAACTCCAGCCGACAGAAGCAACAGCCCCGGGAGTGAATGTTTGTATGTTATGCAAATCATATTTGACATTTGTGATTGTTGCCCTAACATATTCGATCTCGAGAGGAAGGGGTCCCACAGTGATGACAACTCATAAATGTCAAGAATATTACATGCTCGACATGTGATATCTGTGGGTTGCCGTTGCCCGAGATGAAAGTAGATTGAGCAGCAATCAAATGTAAATTTCTAGAAGTGGAATACACTTAGGATAAGCGCTGAAGGGAGTTAGGGGTGGGATAATCGGAACCCTAAAGAGCTCGAAATGTTTTAAATGAATGTTTAGAGTAATCTAATGGAAGGGATATTCTGTCGTGACGCTTCTGAGTGGCTCAGACAGATGTCTAGAAAAGAACTTCCAGCCTTTGGGTGGCTTTGCAGAGTCTTTAGAGTCTTGGGAGTCTAAGTACAGTGAAAACATCCAAGGAATTTGAGAGCGTTGCCTTTCCTTCAACTGTCACCTACTAATGGGTGTTACCCCCCTTTTTTGTAGCCTTCTTTAATTCCCCACTTTGATGCGCTTTAATGCAGGCCATAACTCATGGCCTCCACGGCGGCAACGACGACATTCTAATCTCAATTTGCTGTTTGAGTTGCCACTAATAAAACGCACGACAAACTGACACCACTGCAACGAACCACTGAACCACTCGCCTGAGCACGAAGCCACCAACGATCGCCCTCAGATACGTGGCATTCGATTTGGGTTTACTTTTTTAGCTTTCTTTGTTTCCGATAGACATAATTTGTCGGGGCGTGAGGTGACACTGACAGTGCCAGGGACAAGGACAGGCCGAATAAGGTTCTAGAGATGGTGGGATCTTGGGCTAGAATTTAGCGATACTTGAGGATGAACGAAAAATTGCAAAAAATATTTTTGTGTTCTACGAATAGCTTTAGAGCTCCATATAGGCATTTCAAAGAACGTTTCCTTTACTTCAATATTTATTGATTAGCAATAGATAAGGATGATATTTTGCATTGATTTCTTTTGAGAGTTATATAAAGAAAGTGTAACTAAAACCTCCTTTAGCAAACCAATTTGATTCCGACTAATTTTTCATAAGCTCACACCACAGCCAACAGAAAGAACCTTTATGGACTCCTCTCTAAAAGGCGACACACGACCAGCGGCCGGCTAACATAGCTCAAAAGAGAGCTGTGAGGCCTTTGGGCCCGCCGCTCCACAAATGCAGCTTTTGTACTACTCGTATCTGGCGGATACATTTCAAAGCAATGCCAACTGGGCTGCGTTTATCGCTTGGTAGCCCCACAGACAGACAGTCGACATTCGGACAGAGGAGCCATAGCCACACCGAAAGAGGCAGCAAAACAAACAAACTCACGAGAGACAGAGGCAAATGCAGAGAAAGAGCCGTATGTGAAATTTATGGGCATCAACGTTGAATTTGAAGCGGGACCCCGAAAACCTTTGGACCTGAGCTTGCGACTGCGACGGGGTCGAAGAGTTTGTAGTGGAGTGGAGTGGCCAGTCCAGGAGTGGACTCGACTCGACTCGACTCGACTCGCCTCAACTCGCCTCGGCTGGACTAGCTTCAGTGGCTGGCTTGGCATTTGTAATGCCTAAATGCTTTGGCGAATTGATTTTTGGTGTAAACGATGTGCAATTTTAATGGATTGTGCTGCCAGATAAGCTGACCAAAGGAGGGTGCCTGGCGATGGACACTCCACAGTGCACAGTGGACAGTCAGGGGACCCTGAATCGACTTTGGCTGACTTAGCGTCCGTTGGCTGTGTCGTTTAATTGAATTTGTTTTGATTAGTTGTTGCAGCGTAGCAGGCCATATCCAAGCATTTTGCAAATGCAACTTAAAGTGTTCTCTCTTGCTGGAATTTTAAACTGCCAAAACAAGAACAAACTTTGGAAAAAAAACCAGAACAGGACAGAACAGAATATAAAACATGTCATGCCTTGAGGGCCTGGGCTTTGGCTACCCAGCCAAAATTTACATTATTCATAGTCATAACAAGACGGAAAAATGTCAATTTAAATATTTGCAAATATTTTAACAAGACATGACACAAAAAACACAGCAGCTCCGGCGCTAATTTCACATGTGCGAAATAAAAATTGCGCACATTTTTGTTGGCCCCACATAAGAACAGAAACCAAAACCAAAACCCCAAAAAAAGGTGACGCAACTTTTTTAATTAATTAAGAGAGACCCGAAGAGAGAGCAGCAGGAGATGGATGAAGTGGAGGGAGCCCTGAAAGTTAGCTGAAGGCTTATCGAAGTATTATGCACAGATTCGGAAATGTATTTCGACTATGAGTGAAAAGAATGACAAATATTTAAGGGCCGTTTCAGAATTTCATTTAATATACAGCGGACTTCGAATATGCTTGGATCATTTTAATTTCTTCACCTCTGACCTACTTTTGCTTTGTTTTGCCAGACTGTTCCTCAATATAAGATTTATTTTTCTCAGTTGAAAACTTCTCAGTGTTTTCAGTAAAACAAAACTCAATTTACCCACCATAGTTTAGGCTTCGTAACTTTACTTTTCATTCGCATTTTGAGTGACCCAATCAAATCCAAACACTCCCCATTTCACACCCCTTCTCTCACAAGTCAATTAGACAGTGAGAAACCAAACACAGAATGCCCAGGCCTGAGGCCATGGCTGGTCAAAATCCAAATCAATTTGAATGACAGACCCAAACCAAAGTGCCAGCAATGCAGTTAACTTGTTGATTTTGCCTCCCAGGGGCATGATTTTCTCGAAAGAGACTGACTTCATGTTGCACCTCATTCAAAACTGGGGAAAATTTCAATTGTTGATGCGTAAAAGTCAATTTGTGAAACGAAACTCCAGTCCTAGTGGGAGGGAGAGTCTGAGTCCAAGGCGGAAGTCCTGCAGTGGGATGCACTGTGTGTGTGTGTGTGTGCGTAGTGTATGCATTTCAATTAGAATAAGATTGACAGATAAGCTGTGGGGTGGGACCAGAGCCCCAGCACCGAAAGCAGTTACAGCCGGAGCCCCAGTCCCAGCCATAGGCACAACAATGGATCCGTTGTGCACTTGTGCACTTGCACTGGACGGATAAGGTTAAGCGCCAACCCAGGGGGGGGGGGACCAAAGACGATATGCACTTGGCTTGTGGTTTTTCGAATTTAATTGAATTTAATTGATTTGGTTTTGGGTTCAGCTTGGTCTTGGGCACGGACTATGGGGGGATTCTGCACTTTTGGGGTTGGTTTCCGCATAGTTAGGGTAGAGGTAGAGGTCTTTAAAGTTGGCCCGGGACTGCAACTGGACTTTGCTGTACTGTTAAATGTTGCATGACTCTCCCGAGTTGGCAGTGTAGAGTAGCAGTGAAAAATTGCAGCTGTCAGCGTTGCCCAGAAAAATGATTTGTTGATTTTGTTTCTTGTCTCGAACCAGGCGAGGGTATGGGAGGAGGGTCTTGCATAAATCATAACATATTTTACATATTCCATACATATTTGATGCATTCCCCTATCCATGGTGCCCCCATACAATCTTGTGTGTGCAATTAAAGTTAATATAAATGTTTAGTAATTATTGTGTCTGTCTCACTGTGAGAGTGGGGTCTGGTCTGAGTGAGTTGAATGAGCTGCCTTTTGGCCAGCCACAGCTTGGTTTTTATTATAATTGACTCAACAAGCCTGCCAAAATGTGTCTGAATTTGAACTCTTTCTCTTGCAGAATATTTGGAAGACTAAACTCGCAGGACCTGCTGGACTTTTGATATTATGCATCAATGCTAAGTACAATACGAGTAGTATATGAATCTATGGAAATGTTTATGTATTCAGTGAAAAATGCAATTGACAAATAAACTAACAACAAAATAGGTTAAGCTTAAGGTGCTGTTGAAGTGAGTTTATTTAATTGGAATCTCGAAGAAAAGATCATCGATTGTCTCGTTTATGATTCATTCATAACTTCCCAAAATAAAACCCATGGGAAATACGCGCAACTATCAAATATCCCACATAGTCGAATGATATTTCTCCCATACGAGTATTTTCTGTGCTATTAGCCCCCGCCAGAAAACTAAACGTAATACAATAGCATTCCATTTGCCATGCAACAATGGAATAGCCACGGAATGGAACTAATATTTGCCAAAAACTGCCAAAACAAAACGACTAACATAAAAATCACAATAAAATAAAACAAAAGCAGGAGGAAACACACAGAAGAGAACAGGAATCCTTGTGTACATGTTACAGGGAGAGGGATACTAGTATACAGATGGAATAGAGGGTGCTAGGCTGAAAGCTTTCTCCAGTCTTGCGCCTTTTGTATGGTTGATGTGTTTACATGGTGATTTTTTGCTGGCACGCGATATCCCTTTTGGCCCCAGCACCATCTCCCACTCCCTCGCCTCCTCCATGTGTTTGTCCTCCTCATGACTGGTGCTGTCTCGTGGCTGTGGGTCTGTTTGCTGCTGACTGGCTGTCATATATGGGGAACTATGAAATGTTCTGGCACATACATTCAACTATTGTTTGAGTTTGTTGGTCCTTCGCAGGCGGTTTGTGCCTGGCATACACATAATTGTTGCTAGTGTTCGGCCGCATTGTTGCTCAAACAAAGGCTGAGACAACATTTGTCGTTAGCTATTTATTTGGATTTATTACCACGTCGATGCCACACTGCAGTTAATTAGAAGGGGTTTGGATTGAAGAAGGTGTAGGCAGCGGTAAGAATGGTATTACAGGAACCACTTTTGACATTTTCAGCCATAAGTGGAGCAGTATAAATAGTGTGATTGGCAGAGTAAAATACAGACGGTTGAGAAAACATCGTGCAACAGCCACTCAAGGGACAGCTGAAGGCCAGCCACATCGTTGCAACTGCAGAACAAGGTGTTCTCTTTCTCTGTGTGTCATGTCTTCATTGCTGAATGCAAACAACAACAACATCAGCGGCAGCAGCAGCAGCAGTAGCTGCCACAAATTTATGCACGCACATGCAGCTGGTTGCAATTTTTTGCAAGGCCTCTGATGTTGCATGTAGCCGCCTTTTTGGGGCGTTTTGCCGACTGCCGACCGGAGTGGACTGCTGCAGGTGCAACAGCAGCACGTGGCATGTGCAACAATGATGTCAAACAAAATATGCAGTCAAATCTAACAGACAGAGCAAAACAGCACATGGAATGGGCACAGGCACACACCGCACACACTCCATGGATGTGATTGGGTTGTCACCAGGTTGTCTCTCTGTCGCTGGATAATTCAAATGCCATTGAGGTGGCATTTTTTGTAAGCTAAGGAATGCATTGAACCATGTAATGTTTGATAAATGGTTGGTTGTTGTGTATGAGAGTTGTGGGACGATAGACTTTCAAACTATTTCAAACCATTCCCATTATATAAGCCTTAGTTTCTCAATCATCTAATATTGACTCCACCAGCAGTTAACCCAACTTGTTCAAATAGCCCAAAGGACAATCGACTCAACCATTCAATGCCGACACAAACATATCAATAATTTATCATATTTAACAAAGTCACGCCCTCTGACAAATCGCAGTCCGGTGACCAACCAGCAACCAAGCCTCACAATGCCTAAGCATCGAAATTAGCGCAAATAACAATTAAAAATGCTTGAATGCATTTAATTACGAGTATTTTGTTGATTTTTTGAACAAATATGCTCAAATCAAATAAACAAAACTAATCAAAAATGCAATTGGAAAACACATTGCACAAATTAATTAAAATTATCAAAGCAGAGTCCAAAAACAAACAGTTAATGAGTTGATTAATAAACAATTAAAAAAAGGCTAACGGTGGGAGGGAAAAAAAGGGTGGACGGCGTAAAAATAGTTGGCAAATCGATTGAAATTTATGAGCTGGTAATTGACGCCCACACACACACGGTCCCCAGAGCCAGAGTCAGAGCTAGAGCCAGAGATCGGGCCATAACTCAGCACTTACCAAGTGGCGACTGTTGTAAATCAAGTGAGGCCCAACTTGTTTGCTCTCTTGGCATGCAAACTTGCCCCAGCTGTAGTCGCATTCTCCCCCGTCAGAGTCCCCAGTCTTCGTCTGAGTCCCAGAGTCAGTCCCCGATTCAGACCATGCCTTGGCTGCCGGCCCACTCTCAGATCCCCTGCTAGATACCCCAAAATTTTTACTACTACCTCTGCTATAGAGAGGGTGTAGTAGGACCCACTGCCTACCACAAAAAGTGGGTGGAGCAGGCTCCGCTCCCAGTGGCAGCCACTGCACTTGGCTTCTGCAGTTGCAAATTTCTTACTTCGGCCTGTACCTGGACACGCCTACAACTTTTTTTTTCAAGCTGCTGCTGCTCTGCTGCCCTCAGGTTCTTTTTCGGGACGCAAACATACACACACACACAACTGTTGATTGTCAGATAAGTGGCCCACGACTCGACTATGCCTTTGCTTTGTCGGAGTACGAGTGCGAGTACGAGTATGTATTGGTTTAGGGGACTCGCACTCAAGCGCAAATATGTTAATTGCAGTCGAAGCAGAAACAAACAGAAGCCGTAAGGCCGCTTCGGATGGGGACGGGACTCAGGGTCGGTGGGATGGTGGGATGGTTGCCAGACCGAAGGCAGCAGATTGTCAAAGTTCAAATTGAAATTAAAATAAATGTTTCACAGCGATAATTGCTTCATTAACAGGAAAATTACACTAAAGATCGCAAAATTACAGACCAGCAGCGGAATTGCGGTGTTTAAAGGCGGTAATAGATTTCACTGTATTTATGTGATACTTTGAAACCTTTGGGATACTTATATGTATCAGGTTAGGTAACATATATTATTCCCAAAATTCCATTAACAATGATTATTCCCCTATGATTTTCTTTGCCCAATCCTAAAGAACAAAAACCAAATTTGAAGTCCTAAGCAAACCCAGTTTCGTTTAAGGAACTCCCAAAATTTTCGCTAAATTGAAATTAATTTAGAGACACAAAACATGTTAATTGAAACATTAGAGCCCAACATTTGATTGCTTAATTTACATGAAAATTAACTAAACCAGGCGGCGCTGGGTGAGAAGGCGAAATCACAGACCAGACCAGAGAAAAATGCGACCGAAAAGATGCCAGAAACAGCAGAGGAAATCCCGCACTACATAGAGTCCCCTTACAGAGTCGGGGAGTCAGCATCCCCCAATTTAGGGGGGGGAGAACAGAGGACAGTTCGAGTTCATAAAGACGCAGACCATTAAGACGTTTTAATTCTTGATTTTGCACCCTCGTTCGGGGTCCAGTCTTGGCTCATGACCCACGACCCACGGACCGAGAATGCTGTCAATTTCTGGCCTTCTCGTGCGGGCGGGCTGGCGGACTGGTTTATGCCTTGCCTTCAACGTCTGTTGCCTTTTTCTGGTTGTCGTTTTATTTTTAATTTCGTCTGAGCGCGTCTTTTTTATGCCGTCGAGGCTCATTAGATTTGCAAAATGTTTTCTCATCTCTCCTTTGGTGATGGTGGTCGTTAATGTTATTAGGTTCTTGGTCTCTGACCCTCTTTCCACTCCTGGCATACGCAGAGACACCGCACGGTCACCCACTGCCAACAGGCAAATGCAATTGGATTAATAAATGCCATTAGATATAGCAAGTGTTTTATTTTTATTCCATTTTGGGGCGGATAATTTGTATTTATACCATCATTTCATGCCACATTAGAGTCGAGTTATGGACAGTGACAAAAAAAGTAGAATGAATGTGAAAATGAAATATTGTAAGTCCCCAAAGCCAGACTATGTCTCGAACGGAAATGCAAATAAAGCAAATGTCAATATCCGTTATGGCATTTGGCATTTTCCGGAGGGTCACGTGTGGTATGGTTGGGTGTGTTCCGAGCGCTTAGCAAACACAATTTTTGGACAACAATTAGAGGAAGATACGATTTTTATTTTAATATAAATGAAGTGAAATTAAAAGGCAACTGTTGACAAAGGCACAGCGGTCACATGTGACCGAAAAGGAGGAGAAATACTCATTCAATTTCCACGGTCATCAAAGCAAACGCACGTGTCTGGGCGGTAAATGAAGTCCAGCAGCAGCAGCAAATGCTTTTGACACCTTTCAGTCGAAAGAACAAAAAAAGCACCCAACATAAAAGGTCACAAAGCCAAACAATTAGAAAGGTCAGGTGGTGGCCACTGGCCAGTCCATCCACCCCAGCACCCCCGACACCCTGGGCAGACAATAGCCAACGCCCCCGCATCATCGGAGGATGGGTTAATAATATTCAAAAATATCTGACCGCCTGTTAATGAGAAAATTCTGCTTCTACTCTGGGTTCTGTGGCTGATGATGGCTCAGTGAACTCGAAATTTGAAGAAGACTCGTACCAATGTGTGTCTTAATCACTTCCAGGATGACACCTTGCAGTATCTATATGGGAGTACGGGAGGGATACCCTTTGTTACCCTCGCCTAGAAATAGAATTTATACCGCTCTGAAACCTATTTTCCTGTATCTGGCTTCCACCTTAAGTAGCAGGACTTTGTTGATTGAATCAGTCTAAGCTAATTATTTATCAATTCACACTTGAATCGCATCTCATCCCCACATCTACTCAGACAAACTCCCACATCTAGACACACACTCAAGCCCATATAAGAGCATAACCAAATCTGGGCATTTCCACAGGGATTACGTCTGCCGAAACCCCAAGGCGGAAGGAACTCTTTAGACACCGAAGTAAATTGAGTTCTTTTTCGGCAAATGAAACTAAACGAATTAAAAGCTTGCTTCTACGAGTATTCCTACATCAACAACCACGCCCTTGTCACGGTTGGGAGGCAGAAAAAATAATTAAATGATAAACTAATCTACACCCAAGCCTTTAATAAGTAGCAGAGCCAACGAG